TGGAAAGGCCACTGGTTTATGCTGAGGTATCACCAGCTGTTGTCCACTGTGTTTACGGTTTTAGTTATTCATGTTTCTTTAGTGTTTCTTATTTGATTTCTCGCGAGATACCCTGGCAAGCGGGTGAATATTTTCAAGCACACTGCCCACTTGTATTATCGATGTGTCTTGTGTCTTTGCGTGATGTTTTGATAGGGTTAGTTTTGTTACAGATTTACAAGTCTACTAAATGCAATGACATGTTGCAACATGGTTACTGTCCGCGAGGACCTTTCTGCGCCTTTGCCCATACTGACGGTATGCACTGACAATATCTCTGTTCTTTTTCGCATATTTAACGTTACAACAAATCTTTTTAGAAGAGCTGCATGCCATTCGAGACCTGCCGAAACGCCTGAGTTTGACTGACTCTACTTCTTCGTTAATCGGCAAAGGTGCCGACTTTTACGATTCGGACAAAGCTTCGGGTTCGTTTCATTTATTGTTTTTCATTAATTTTTTATTTCTTTCGCTACTGAGACTGATTTAATTTAATTTTTAATGCTAATTTTTTTGTCACTTTATTGAGAGAATTGAAGGGTAATTTTCATTTCTTCGGATTGAACTCTGTTCCGATGACTGATTAATCCAAGCATGCTGAATGAGGAATCTACTGTACGATGTTTCGTTTCAGTCAGTCGTAAATTAAGTAAGAGGTTGATGATGATTACATAATTTGTAATCTTTGGGTTATTTCTTTTTCACTTTTTCCACGGAACTTAGTGAAGCGCTGATCTCAATCACTATGCCATCCTCGTCCTCGCAGAACCATTAATGTAACTTTTTCCACACCGTGGTTTCGACTACGGCGAACAGTTTCGTGTTCTTCATTGGCTCATATTCGTTTATCTACAACTACGAGAGGCGAACACATTAGGCAGCAGGGACTCGAGCCCACGATCTTTCTGCAGTAGATCTGATGTTCTGCTGACTGAAATACCTTGTTAGCTAAAGTTGGATGGTAAAGTACGCTGTTACGCTCATGTCAGAGCACACGTAGCTTACAATTATTCTGTTCAATACGCCATTTTGTTATGAATCAGCCATCGGTTGGATCAAGTCGAATTATAGCCTTGAACACACTCATCAGACAACATGGTCCTATATCTCGTACGCTCTTGCATAGCCACACCAAAGCACCAGCTATATCTATTGCTAGCAAGTTATTGACTTGCAACCCGTCTTTCGACCAGAATTAGCTTGTTTAAGAAGCAAAATTTGACGCCATACATGGCACTCGAATCTGCAAAGTAACACTAGCTAACAGTGCAATAAGCGGTTAAGGCACAAAGTAGTTTGTGTCGGAGGCAGATTGTTGTCTGGTCCAACACCATATTCGGTTTTGATTCCATTGCACTGAAGGTATTATGATGACGTAGAGCTGTAGCCTACTTAAAAGGTGCCCTTGACCGTTATGAGCAAGGGAACGGAGCGACTTCGCCTTGTTAATTCGAATAATGTCATATGATAATACTAGCTGTACTGCTTGCTCTGATCTTTAGGCCCAGTTCCTGTTGATAGTGCTTTTGTTGTCAGAGAAGAGTTACAGTTCGATCAAAATATTGGTATTATGCCTGACGTTTAAAAGTAATATTGTAATGGTAATAAGATTGTAAGAGTAATAATTTTCTTTGTGCTGTTTATGTTAGCTATTAATATCAGTCTTTTTATTTTGAATATTATGGGCACGACCAATATTTTGGCCATCATATCATCATCCTAAACGAACGCAAAATACGCATGACCTTTTCTGGTTCTGCAACTAGCTACCGACTGTAGCTGAGTCCTGATGTTGTCATAACTGACTTTCAATAAGTGCAGTTCAGAAGTTCAGTGATAGCTTCGTCAAAGCATGGGTATCTCCATCCTCCCTGCCTTTTTCGTCATATGTGCGATACCACAAACGCTGCTTCGGTTGTTCCCTGTACGTCAGACTGTTGTAAGAGCGCGCGCTGCACAGCCTTTATTGTATATGTCAACACGTGCAAATATATCGTCATCATTTAGAATCAGTGCCAACGTGTAATAATCTTAGACTTATGATGTAGCGACTGTCTTATTGGTTAGTTGCTTGGATTTGTTTTTCACGCTTCTTTAAAATTTCAGTAGTTTACCGTCATCGTGCTGGTGCTTGTTCGTCATATTTTGAGAATATCTTTTGCCAGTATCTCCTTTGATATCCAGAACCGGTATCATAATGCTCTGAAAGATATATGTTCGTATTTTATCGATTCGGCTGATCAAACATCAGTTACAGTGATATCATTTAGGTTCAAGCTGCAAAATCTACAGTATTAACACCAACTGAAAGATAGAAATTAATCTTTCATGCAGCGAATGCACTGTGAAATAGTCGTCGTGCCGTATTTGTCAAACGAGCTTTCGTACAGTCGATATCTGATTTGTTAGTTGAGATATTAGCAGCCAGAGATTTAAAATTAGCTTCATTACTTTGTTATGTCTAGTTGCTGTTACTACGTATTTCTGAAGTTATTCAGGGTTTGTATTGTTTAGGTTCTTGTCTCCTCAGTCCGGTGATGAAGAAGTCAAACATCAGTGGCCCTACGGTGTCGTCCACATCAGACTGTTTACAAGTTTTTACGTCGTTTTCGACTGTGTCCTCTAACGTGAGCGGCGACGTGATGCCCAGCTATTCCGTAAGTCGTTTTTGCCGAGTCGTTTGCTTTTGCTTATGCCATTTTTTGTTTTGCTGTCTCCGTTGTATGCGAAACTTATTTTGGAATTTGTGTCTAGTAAGTGGCAGCATAAGAAAGCAAAAATTTCAGGGTCGTTACTAAATATTGTAACTCCGTATGATACTGCATACCAGTCTTGCAAGACCGAATGTGGAACAAAGATGCAGCTGTCGATATCCTAACGTTAATGGTTAAGCCTAGCGAGAGATCTGTGCCTAGAGTCTGAATTAATTGCTAAATCAAACCTCTGATAGTGTTTTTATTCCACTCTGACTGTTTGACCACGGTATGCATCGTTTCGTAGTTTTAAGTTGTTGATGCGTTAAACGTCTAAGATTGATTTCGTGGAGACGAATACACATACCTCTGCAAGTCATGAAATTTCTGCTTATGAAGACCCTGCAATGCATGTATACTGGCGATGTTATTGCCCTGGCTGTATAAAGGTTGTGAAGTGCATTCCCTGTGGTTTTCCTATATTGTTTAGTTTCCTTTATGTACTTTTGTCTATAAAAGAGTAATGTACGACTGTGCCAGTCTCCTTGCTATTAACCTCGATCTGTTGTATGTTGTCTGTCTGTTATCTATTAACGAGTCGCTATCATGTTTTATTTTTACATTGGCTGTTTCTTCAGACTGTGCTCATGCAACGGCACGGTAGTTTGTCCTTGCAGAAACCGACCAACATTTGCAGCGAAACGGGCTGCGGAGAGCTATCGAGCAGCTACCCAAAGGCGCCGGGTTTCGAGAGGATTTATCAATTTTCGGTAAGTGCTCATCGCTTTAGCTGCCCTTTTTTCTTACCTTTCCTATCAGTTTTGTTGTTTTTTTATTTCCACTAACGATTGCGTTTTTACTTACGTGTTTAAGGTACTGTGCAGTGTTTTTCTTACCCTTCTCGAATGCCATCATGTTGTAGTTCATCGCAGGCCATCGGTCCGTCCGCGTCCTCCCGTCAGGTCATCATGGTCGAGTAGTCAAGTCAATAGATTGTTGTTGATGAACGCCCGATACCAAATTTAAGCAGTACTGTATATTTGCTACTGTACAGTTAAGTGACGTTCGCAGTTTTTCGAGATTGTTTAAATTTAAATTTTACTATTATGATACTTATGGTATTTGTGTCTACGGTTTGATTTAAGTAACTTTTGTCGTTGTTGTTGCAGCCTCGCAAGGACCGCGGTGGTGGAGCTGAATTTGCAGGCGGGGGTGGAAACGAGGCAACGGATACGGACAGTGGACGCCTGAAGAGCGCGTTGTACGTCTGCCATGAGGTGGGCTGGGATGTGGCTGCTGCTACTGCCGTCTCCCCTAATATTACGGGTCACCCGACGTCAGCGTCTGGTCTCATAAATGTTCGTCACAATTCCGGTTCGCCGTTGCTCAACGTCGAACCGGCCAATAGCTATTCTAGCATGGACAACGCTGATTCACTTTTAGGTTTGTCTTTCAATTCTGCTTGTCGTTGCTTATAGCGATATTCATTCTTTATTTCTTCGTCTTTAGGTAGTTTAATGGAAGATATTAGTTTGGATGACCTGTCTTTGCCGACCATCAGTGAAAACGAGGAACGAATTGAAGCAGCATCGCCTTTTATGTCTCAGGATGCAAACATTAATGGTAAGGTACAACTGTGAGAAGATAAGTGGCAATTCCGGTATCTGTTCGTAAGTTGGTCAACAGTGCGTTTTCTTTCTCAGCCCAGGTATTTTAAAGGTTTCCAAAAGCACTTGAAGATAGATCAATCCGTGTATATAGCTCAGGCTGGGTGTTGCTGTCTTTAGAGATCATGGACCCAAGATGGTCAAATTTGCTAACCTCCAGAATCGTTTCACCGCTCTGTTCCACTTGTAGATCAGCTGCGCTGGACGGGTTCCTAATCTAATGACTTTTGACTCCCGGCCATAAAGGAAGAGGCCAGCTATCGCAGCTGGTTGCATACGGAAGCCGTTAGGCAAGAGAGCAGCGCCTCTTTTCCGTACTACTCTCCAGGCCAATGTCATTTGCGTGTTATGGATCAGAAAGATATCTAGTCGGATATCTTGAATCGCGCCTTGCCTCTAGAATAATACCGTTGTCTTTGCATGGGCTGAGACTGATTTAGAGAGGGCAGTGGAGAACAGTATTCAATTGCAAAGACGACAGCACATCTTCCAGTTGAACTTCACAGTTAGCAAACCACGTATATAGCCTTTCTTCGACTTTCTCGACAGACATATTTCCTTCGTACATCGCATCTGATGGCTAATTATTGTTTTTTTAGCGATGTTCGGAGCCTCATCTCCGGTGATGATTCCTCGATCTTCAGTGCAGAATTCGGTTTTACGGGAAAAATCGTATACGCCAAATAGTCCTCGTTCGTTT